AAAGCAGGTCTACAATATACCACAATACTGGGAAAAACATCGACATCATACTGACCTACTGAAAATGAAATTTTCGTGGTCGAACTGAGAAACATGAAAAATAACACTAAGACATATCCGGAGACTTAAATTAAAACCAAAAGAGTAAGTAGAGTATGATCTACTTTCTACTAGATCCGTCCATGGATTTGGCTACCTAGCGTTCTATTTCGAACATATGCCTTTCTTGTGTCATTTGTCGTTCTCGCAACTCTCTAACTTAGGCTTGGGATGCCCCCAGTTCTCTCTGCAAGAAATTAGTACGATCCCTTGTTGTACCAGGATTGTCTTCTAGGTTGCAAAGGCGAACGGTGTTGATTCCAGTGGCAGCATCAACCTGCATGACTCGGTCGATGGCAGGTCTTCCCTCTTCATCGTTACGCGCAACACGACGAACTAACACTGGAAGGGCTCTATCTGTTGAACCTTCTGCTTCAAGATTGTAGAAGCTTCGGTCTCCTTGGTAAGGATGGTTCTGACTCTGCTCGTCACTCCACCTGTCCAAGTTTATTGCCCACAGAGGCGTCGGGCCTTGGAAGTTTTGTCGAGGATTGGGGTTTTGGGCAACTTGAGGTGGATTATAGGCTTATGATTCTGAATCAGCATCTTCGGGAAAGTCTTCTTCAAAGTCCTTTTCTGTGGGAACTGCAGGATCATCTTCTGGTTCGGCGTCGAGCCATCCTCCATTCCCTTGATTCGGAAAGTACGAGTCTCCGGGTAGATGGAATCCAACCACTGTTATCTATGCGAGAATAAGGATATAAGAAATATCTAATAATTTAATAGAAGCGAGTAAACAATTTCAAGTTTCTATAAGAAAAACTTACAGTTAACAGATAATGTATTCTATACTATATGACTCCTACTGGGTCCTTCTACAAGCACATAGTGTATACTAATTATATACAACTCGGGTCGAATAGACCTTCGAATAAATGTTCCTACTCTATATCCACATCCAAACAAGGAAAAGGAAGTAAAACTTAGACCACTCATTCTAAGTCTATGAAACCTTAGTCATATATAACCATAATGCATGCACTTAGTACTTATAGAACTATTAGCAAGAGTCCTTTGTTTTCATGTAACTTGTTCTTAGTATATAGTGCCTAAAATACTCCTATAGTATTTTAACTTTATGTTCTGTTCTAGAGTTCTTCTGTATATGTAGAGTTGGTAAGTTTTAGACCTGTCGCAACACTACCATCACTCCCAAATACATGTTCGTCGTATCTCAAATAAATATAGTTGATCAGGCTATATTGATCCCAAATATGATTACATAACTGTCCAGGTTTGACTGCAGTGCTCAACATTCAAATACTTTTGTTCTGTTCTAGTATGACACCGTTCTTTAGTATGTATGCAGGTATGTATACTTTATTAAAATATTTTATTATTTAAAAAGTATAACTCTTGGTCAGAGTGTTTTAATCCCATTGTATTTATAGTTGTATATCTTTTATGGGTTGATATACTTAGTTCACTATAAACAATGCTCTGATACCAATCTGTCACACCCCAAACCGGAACGGCATAAACGTTTGGGGGCGGAGGACGTCATGTACAGTATCATAACAATGCACAATAGTAAAACAAGCAACAACATCCATTGCATTAATAGAATAGTTAATACATGTGTGTTCTTTGTATAGTTGTAAGACACCAAAAATGTGTAGCAAAATAAAAGACGAGTCTTGAACATGCTCCGTCCTCCCAAAACCTAGTCCAGTGTGCCTGTCTACTGGTTCCCTGAGAATACAAGTTATTTTGAAAGAGAGTATCAACATTTAAGTTGGTGAGTTCATAAGTATTTTAGTGTCAAGTGTTTGCATTTGTTTGAAGAAAATGTTTGTATTGTTTCGCAAAAATGTTTGTATTTGTTTGTATAACTTGCCAGAAAATCCTATATTTTCTGCTTATATGAAAAGTAGTCTTCTCTCCAAGACCGACCTGTTTGTATGTTCTGTTCTCTTGAAAATGATGTAAAATGTATGTTTGTACTTGAAATAGTATAAAATGTATGTTTTCCATATTTATAAACTATCTTTACTAGAAAAATAGTATGCCTTTCTCATGTGAGAGATTCACTGTATGAATGTAATGGAAAATAAAGATTTATAGTAGTATTGTATAAATTACACTACTGATGCATTAACTACCTTTAAACCAAACTAGTTAATTAAGGTTAAAATGTGATTGAGGTTATAACCATACTTGATTGACTAGTATAAAACACGATGTTCTTCAGGCGTCGAAAAGATATGACATTTGTCACCCGTAGACCTGCATGTCCCACTATAGCAAGCAGCAAGGTGTGGGATGGTCAATCTCGTATAGATCTATACACAAACTCACGCTCTCCCTCCATGAGACTCTGGTTACAAAACATGACATAGCAATTATTGCTATGCCATGAAATAGTATCTCACATTTTAGTTATCTTGTTCTTCTTATAGTGTGTAAGTTCCTTCTTGTTCTTGTTATAGTGTGTAAGTTCCTTCTTGTTCTTGTAATTGAATAGTATACTTTGTAATGAATAGTAATAGTATGCATGTATTGATTTAGGTATGTTCCTCTGTTCTAGAAAATAGTATGTATTGATCCTCTAAACTATACATATTATAGTTTACTAGTACGTTCTGTATTAGTGATAACTGTTTATGAATACACCCTTTGCTCAATATGTCACAAAGGATATATAAACTGATTTGGAATACTTTTATATTTATATACATATATAAATATATATAACTAAAACTTAAACGACCTTCGGACAAATAACTATACCCTAAGTCCACATCCAAACAAGGAAAAGGAAATAAAGCGAGTTATTAGTCATAAGCCTTTTAAATCTTATTTATATAACTATATATATATATATATATATATATATATATATATTATATATGATTTTTGACAATATATAAGTTTAAAAAGAGTTTGTAAAAAATTTAAAGAGTTTAACCATTTTGAAAGATTCTTGATGACTTGATGTCATTTTAAAATAATTTGAAACCGTTTGTTGATAACACAGTATATAAGTATAAGAAATCCTTTTGTTTGATTATTTTCACATGTAAATGTTAACACAAATAAATTGTGTTCGACTTGCATCCCCCCCCCCCTAAAAGCATTTAAAAATGTAAATTGTAGGGGTATGAACTCACCTTGTGTGAGTGATTCGATTGGAAGTTCGATATAGGGTGTTATTTCCACTAGAGGAATCCAGTAGCAAATCCGAGTCCTAAATAGCATTTTATGTAATATATATATGTAAACAACTTGTGTATAGACATAAGGATGATAAGGAATAGGACTAATTTGTAATTCTAACTTACAAATAAGAGTGTTATTAACAAAGATGGGAGGCTGCAAGGAGTTCACGACCAGAAGAGGTGTTCACGGCCCAAAGAAGATCTTGATGATCTTGAAGAATTTATGATGATTCAAGCGTTTGCGGTCGATAAATCCCCAGAATGTTGATGAAATGAAGAAAACTTGAAGATCCAAGCAATATTCTAAGAAGATTCAAAGGATTGAAGGATGATACTTGAGAGATAAAGTGTTTTCGGTTGAAGATCTTGAGAGAAAAATCTTGAGTTTACGGCCAAAAGTGTAGAAGTTAGGATAAAATCAGTCAAACACACACCACACACACACACACACACATATATATATATATATATATATATATATATATATATAGGGTAGGGTTCACGGTTCGAAGAGAGTTCACAGCCCGAAGTGGTTTGCGGTCGAGGTGTGCGGCTGCGAACCTCGTTTGCGGCTGCGAGACTCGTTTGCGGCCCATGCGAGGTTTGCGGTTCGGACAAGGCTCTCTATAAATCATTTCTAATTCAAGCAACCCTTCTAATTAAAGGTTTTAAACCAAATTTAGATTTTAAACCTACTTAAATAAGATAGATCAAAATGTGAATTTTGACTTTAATTGACCAAGTTTGACTTTTACAAGAAAAGAAATTACGGGTTGTCACAATATCCATCTCATTAGATCATGTAGTGACTAGGTGTCCAGGACTGCAATGAAACCGATAAAATATATGTTACAAGAAGAAAAGTGCCAAATCATTAGTAAATTTTAGTTTGGGACTTATTTGTAAATTAGGTTAAAATAATGGGACTTTAATGGAACCAAAAAAGTAATCAAACCGGTAAACCGGGAAAAATGGGTACTTTTGCCTCAAGCCGCAAGCCCTAAACTCTTCGGACTTCACTCTCGTTGTCTTTTTGCCTCATAATTTTCGATTTCACATTGCCGGCTTGTCGCACACTTGTAAGTCGTACTAATGCACTATAGTGGCCGGTGGTGCAGCGGTGGCTGGTGTTTAACGTTAGCAGAAGGCTGAAGGAATGAAGAAGGAAGGTAGCAAAAAGCCAAAGACAAATAATTGAAGATAGAGTTCGTTTCTCAGGACCCAAAATCGACAAGTAAGCCTTCTTTTAATCTTTTCTTAGTTCTAACTTCTAAGTTCTTAGTTTCAACGTGTTGTGTTTTTTTTCAATTTATTTCACATATGCAAGGCTGATTTTATTTTACACATATGTATGAGTTTTTTCACATCTTTATCATATTGACATATTGTAATGCTGATTTGCTACTGCTTATGCCTAATTAATTGATTATTTTTCAATGATTAGTTAAATGTTGATTGTTATAATTATTCAATGTTTACTGTTACAACTTACAATGCTGATAATTGAGCTTGAATTTGATTTGTTTTCATAACATGTTATTGTCATGTGTTTGTTTTCATAATTTGGAGTTTTATTTTTATTTTTGTCTGTTCATGATTCATTGATTTTTTTTTTCAGAATCTGTTAATTTATGTTCACTATTACAACTTTACAATGCAGATAATTAAGCTTGAATCTTTTTTTAATACTTTAGGTTTAATGTGTTTAATTGATCTTTAGTATGTTAGTTGTGTTCAATGTAGATGGAAGGATCTCAAAAAATAGTTGATGAGGTTGAAAGTAGAAGTAAGCAAATTAATCTGGATCCACCAACTGTTAATGTTGAGGAAGATGAAGAAGTTGGTGAAAATAAATATGGTGGTCAAAAAGGTTCTTGGGTATGGAAGCATTTTTATAAAAAGAAGATAGATAAGACTGTGAACAAATTGAGATGCCCATATTCTCTAAAGTTGATGTGTGCACGCACCAAGAAGAGTGGTACGAGTTCAATGAGAAGTCACTTAAAACTCTATTGTGTAAATTTTCTGGTTTATGATCCTAAAGGCAAATCCGGTGATTCGAAAAAACAATCTTTGTTGAGTTTCAAAAAATCAGGAGAATCGGGGGCTAATTCTTTGGAAGTTCATTCCTTTAGCCAAGACAAGTGTAGGAAATCGTTGTAAAAGACAATCAACCATTTAGTGTAGTTGAAAATGAGGGATTTAGGGAGTTTGTATCGGACTTGCAACCTCTATTTAAATTTCCATCAATTTGGACCGTCGCAAGGGATTGTTTGAAGTTATACAAGAAGAGGAGTCTCAACTTAAGGATGTTTTTAAACATTTATAGGATGTTTTTATATTTATAAAAAATTTATTTATGCATATAAAAAAGGGAAATTGAGTAATCTAACCACTTTTTTGGTTGTTTTTTTTTTTAAAATAACCTTTTTTTTTTGGCAAAATAACCACTTGTTCCGGAATGGGTTGTTCCGGACCCGATTTAAAATTCGGGTAAACGGGTAGTAGTTCCGACCCAATAATCTGGTTTACCTATAAATAACATTTAACCTGTTTTGGACTACACTTTGAAATCCCTTGTTTCGGACTAAACCTCGACATCCCATTCCGGATACCTCTACAATTGAGAATATCTTCCGATAGTAGTGAAGAAATGCCAATTTTATTTGTAAGTTTCAAATTTGTTTCTAAGTAAATGCATTTATTTTAGATTATACGTTAAAAAATGTTTAATTTGCGCAATTATATAGGTATTATAAGGCTTTCTGTGAACTTTAATCTTGTTAAGGCAATTATATGATTACATAGACTTATGCATCTATACTACATGATACATCGTAATAAAAAACCCTAATTTTTGCTACTCCGGAACATGTCCGGAATCCAAAAAACAAGTCCAGAACACGAAAATCATGTCCAAAATAAAATGAATGAAAATCATGTCTGAAATACAATGAATAGGGTCCAAAACTTTTGTCCAGAATTTTGGTCTGGAATTTATGGTCCGGAATATTGTACACGATTTTCGGATTCCGGAACATACATATAAAAATCATAATTCCGAAATACAATAAAAAACCTTAATTCCATAATACAATCAAAAACCCTAATTCCACTCCGGAACATACATACAAAAATCCCTAACTAATAATTCTTTGGATTATAGCACGATAATACATACGCAACAGTTGTTACTACAACCTGCAGACCTGAACTTGGGCGAGAAATCATGGCGTGCTTACAAAACTGACCAGTTTGTGCGGCGATGTTTAGGCAATCATGTTTTGGTGATTACGTGCACATACAGATGGGTTTCGAATGTCACCCTTTACTATGTCACTATCTTATGTGCGAGGAAGCTACAAATTTTGATCCAGTTGACCTAGAAGAGCTTCTATATCCGACTGGAAACTATCATGTTTGATTTGACAGGAAAGCATTTTGCTTGGTCACCGGCATGCGGTTCAGGGATTATTTCCATCCCAGTTCTGATTTTGTAGCATTTAAAGAACGTGTGTTTCTATTTGTGCTGCTTTCATGTTCAATGAGAATGGATGACCTTACGAACGTGTTTTATAACTCACTTCATCAATTAAGCAACGGAGACATGGTGAGAGTCTCCCTGTTGTATATGCTAGAGTAAAGACTTTTGGGGAAATACCAGCAACAACCAGTTACTAATGAACGTAACGAGTATTCGTCTCTAATTTACAGGAGTTTAACAGGTACAACAATTTTTTACCCACATTATATCAAAATGATACATATACTTATTAAGTGTAATATTTTGACATAGGTACCCATGGGCAGATTGATATGGGATTTCACTTACAAACAATTGTGTACTGTGTTTGATAAGATTGGGGACCATTTGAACCCAAATTCGGCAAGAATCGGCAGTAGACACATATATACTATGCGGGGATTTGTCTATGCATTTAAGGTATGTACACTTTGTTTAATAAGAGTTTTTAAACAACAAGTATTGTAACTTTGTTAACTTGGTAAGTTGTTTGTCATCTTAATCTTGTAGATTTGGATCTTCGAGACATTTCCCAACAGTAGTACTGCTGCTTCGCCTATACCGGGTGTTATCCCTCGGGCAGTTCTATGCCCTAGGATGAGGCGTTTGCATTCACCTAATTGTGAACGTATTCCCGAAGTTACTAATGTATGTAGTTTAGTCCACCTTATAATTTATAAGTTGATATGACATAAATAAGTTACGATTAACCTTTTTTTCGTGCAACGTCCCCCAACAAGTTGTTGCAGCCTACTACGTAGGAGCGTGCTGCTAGGTGGTGGATTGAGAGTGACCATTGGATAGATGTTGCATATTACGCTAATGTTTAAGTTATGGTTTTCTTTGTTAATATTTTAAAACAATTGTCCTTTCGAACAACATTTTGTAGAATGTTTACTCTTAGACTGAACATTATTTTTGCCACTTGACTTGGTCCTACTTGAAGATTTACTTTTTGTTGACTCTGTGGGAAACGGAGCATCATAGTTTCTGCTTGTGTGACTGATCCTTTGGCAACGACTACATTTTTTCTAAGTTGGACCTTCACCTTGGGATGGGATACAATTATGGTTTTTAGGTCATCCAGCTTGTCGTTTGTCCATCAATGGTGGCAAACAACCATGAATTCATCCGGTTCTTCGTATTCATCTGGAACTGGCACAAGAAACACAACCTCTACATATGTTGAACGATATGTTTCCATTGTGAAGTACGATGATACCCATGCACTGTAGTGGTTATATCTCAATTCCTTGAATACTGCCATAGCATGAGTACAAGGTATACCCGGGAATTTCTATTTCCTACACATGCAGTGACGAGTTTGCAAGTTTACTATACCATTTTTCATTTGGTCAGTCACCTCATATATTCTTTGATCAATCTGGTATACCCAAAAACTAGATGATTTGTTGATCCTCCTATCGATGACCTTCTCAGCATACTTAGTGACATCTTTTTTTCTTTCAGCTATAACAAACATTTATGTATACATTGTCATGTACAGTAAATTACACTATAATTGTGATTGAACTGTTAGAATCTAGGGAAACACTTACGTACAACATTACGTCGTTTGGCACCACCATTGTTGCATAGTTGCTCAAAAGAAATCAATCAACATTGTTATCGGTAGTTTCCTTTCATCTCTTGATAATGCATTGACGAACTTGGCACTGTTTGATGTCATAATATTATACCGAACCATGGGTAAACACGACCTTTCCGATCTTTCGTTATCAATTATGTCTATCCATGTCTGACAATCATTGTTTAGTGCACGATGTATCCTACTCAATCTTTCCTTGAAATCAGCCTCTAGGTATGCCTTTGCAGCCTCCCAAAACAAAATCTATGTTCTCTCTTACTTTCCGATCTTTGTTCTCATATTCATCAACAAATGGTGACAACAGAGTCCGTGATATGCTCTCACACCCCATTCCAAGGCGACAGAACACGTCGGGCTGTGCGACTAAGTTCATGGATCACAGAAAAATTAAATATATAGCACAAATACAACAATAAAAAGAATAGCATTCATGTTCCATCTTGATGTTTGAATAAAATGTTTTTACAAATAATAACACGTGAATTGCCTTAACAAATAGGCATATAACACAAAAGTAAGTAAACTAGGTCACCTATAATCCAATCTGTCTTGAATGTCCGTTTAGTGATTTCCTGAGAATACATGTAATTTTGAGAGTCAACACAAGGTTGGTGAGTGTTACAGGTTTTCTTCTAAAAGCAGTAATACTTTTAATAAGTCTAAAAAGTATTATCTTTGTACGTATAACAATAGTTAAAACAGTGTTAGCAATGAGTCTTTAAAAGCATAAATGTATTTTGGTATAAGTAAATCCTTACTTTAAACTGTGTTTGTAATAATTCCTTGTAAGCTAAAATGTATCCTTTGTATAAGTAAATCCATATTTTAAACAACGTTTTTAATAAACCTTTGAATATCCTTGAAAACCAAACTGTTATGTGATGGGTTTTGAGCACTATAATAATCCTATGGTGCACATATAACCCTAATGCTTTGGATCTAAGTTTTCTCAAGTTATACATGCAATTTTAATTTATCCAAAGCATGAACCCTAACTAGCATACAATTTTGAGATTTCCAACATAAAACAAGTTAGATGAATACCTCTTTGTTGTAGCTTGTGGAATTTGGCCTTTCAAGAGCTTAGTACCTCAACGGTGATACCTCAAATAAGTCACAAACACCAAGAACAATGGAGAACTATGAGAGAGAGGCTAGGAGGCACCAAAAAACGGCTAGGGTTTCTTCTTGGAAGTCTTGGCCAATTTTGGGAGTGCTAGGGGTTACATTTATAGAGTGGAATTTCTAGGGTTTTAACTTGCAAACCCTAATTTATTTCCTTAAGCCTTTAAGCAATCCAATAACCCGTGTGATAGGCCCTTTGGACTAACTCTTCATGGACTCTCACATAGATTTAGTCCATCCCTAATCAACATGGATCATTAGCCCAAACTATATGTATTACTGATTTACCTAATCAGTCCCCGTTAATTTAATCAGTCTCTTTTGATCACTAAATTAATTCCAAATTAATTCATGATCAATACCAATTAAAAATATGATTTCTCAATTAATATATTATTCTTATAATATATTAATAAATCACAAATAACCTCTTTCTCAAATATCCATCCTATCAAATTGCTCCGGTGAAGGCAACCCAAAAGGACCATGCTACTATCGGGTCAAGTACATACCAATTATAGTTATGGGCTTATACATGATATGAGCATATTTAGTTATAAAATTCATGCATTATCTTAATACTTTATGTTGTTTTTATATCATTTTATGGACAAAAGGTATTTAATTAGCTTAATATTTCAATTTCAGTAATAAAAGACATGGTTGGGTGAAAAAGAAAGAGGATTAAGTGATTGGAAGCTTGGAGATTGAAAGAAGGCTGAAATATGAAGAAACTCGACGAGTTGACCCCCAACTCGACGAGTTGGTCAGAATATTCTCGATTCAAGGATGCCTTGCCGTACACGTTGCATACACGGAATGTAGAAAAAACTCGTCGAGTTATTCTTAAAAACTCGACGAGTTGGGTTGATTTTTGGAAACTATAAATAGATAACATCTATGCTC